ATGCACGACTTTGATAAGTCGCATTCAGAAGAAAAGAAGGATACAATGATCCTTACCTCCTAGTGGTTTTCTAGATGATTAATAACTCAGTTCCTAGTGACAAATGTCCCTGTATGATAAAGTGATCTCTACAGAATCCATTCAGCCTTGCTCCTTAGTCAGATACTTTAAGTTCTTTGAGAGCAAAAAGATATAACCGAAGCCGTTTAAACATGTCTACAGTGAAAGAACAGCCACCAATAAAATCAGATGACCATCAGGTTATATCACCAATTGGGTGGAGTTAAAAATGTGTAACACCTGATGGCAACAAAGTGGTCTAAAGGTGACATTAGCCTCGAAACCTGAAGGTTATGGGTTCAGCCTTAGGAAGAGCTGTTGATAGGTCACATAATAGTCTAGAATAAATGCCTAGTACGCTTTGGCTCTCACTAGTACCACGACTAAAGATCATCAGTGACGAAAACCATCTAAAGGTTGAACTAACCACCATAAAATCAATTTACTCATCTTTAGTGAATTTTTATGGGACGAAAACCTTACTCACTTACATGAATATTATCTTTCTTTCATAGGTTTTTATACCTCATATTAGTCTAAAAGTACCCTTAGGATGGTCGAGAGTGATGGAAATTTACCACACATCAAAAAGCATTCATACAATCTTCAGTCTAGTGACAGTTCATAAACGTTAGCTTTAATGATCATTTGTTTAAATAATTTGATAACAGCATTAACTATCTTATATTTGTAATGATTCGATAACAGTATCGATTATTGTATATTTGAGCGTCTGTGTGCGCATACTTATTAGTTTATTACGTGTCTAGTCTATTATTGCCTGACCGCGAATACGGAATTATACTTCAGCTAGTTCGAATTGGCTCACTCGCCTTCTTCACTCTGCGTCGCTTTGCTTGTACGCTTCCCATTGTCATGTCTGTCTGCTTAAATGAACGCATGAAATAAATTGACCCACAAAACCATATTTGGCTTCATATTACCGCCATCACACAAACGGGATTTGATTTACAGAAATGGAGAGGAAGATTTATTTCGTCACATACGCGATCATCCGTCCAAACTGGAGTTAAATTACGGGTGACTAAAGCCTACGCCTTCACTGACTGCAGTCCAGACGATTTGAAAGATGAGTTTTACAGAAAGCTTTCGGACCTCCTCCAAAAAGTTAAGCGCTTTGATATAGTTATAATGGCTGGTGACTCAATGCTCAAGTAAGCAGACTAACTGAAAATAAAAGACACCTAGGCGGATGTTACGGTCTCGCGGCTCAAAGAACAGACAATGGCGACCGTCTGTTGCAACTGTGCTCAGATAACCAACTATTTCTAGCAAACATTAATTTTAAGCATAGGGAAAAACATCTCTTGACCTGGCGACCCCCGAAGACGTCTCAACGTTGGACGCAATTAGATCATATCGCCATCAGCCACCGATGGAGAGGTTCGATAGAGGACTGTCGCTCGTTCTGGGGCGCAAGTTTAGATTCAGATCATGCCCTATTGCGAGCTCGTATTTGTTTGAGGCTTACTGGGCGTTGGAAAGACACGGTAAGAAAGTGTCCTAGGGCTTTACTTGA